TGAGGGCACACAGGGAAGACATAACCACTGGAAGTGACTAAACAGGCAACTCAGGCATAAACGTTAAAAGAATGAATTACGTTTTCCCAAATTCCTACGTGGATACCTTAACTCTTGGTACTTGCGACTATATTTGGAGATAATTAAAAGTAGTAAGTTGAATGAGTAATTAGGGTGGGCTCTAATCACAAGTGGCCAGTGTCACCATAAGATCACCCACTCTGATGTTAGACTTCTCTTTCTCCCAGCTCTAAGGGCGTAAGTTTCTGTTGTTTAAGCTACTGTGTGTAGTTCTTTGTTATGGTAGGACAGAGAACTAATGTCAAATCTCAGCAAGCACTCATTCAAATAGTTGTTTAGTCTTCACATGATCTAGGCAGTGTTCTGACCCTGGGGAAGTAGCACTCAACAGAAGTGGGTTAGACCTGTCACCTTGGAAGCTTAAAGTCCCAGAAGAACTAGAGCAGCTGAGTAGACAGATAATGAAGAAAGTAATACAAGGCACATTAGAAAGTGGCTAAGTACCAGAAGGAAAAAAGGAGATCACAACTGTTGGGGGTAGGGGGATTGCAGTATTACAGAATACAACCCTCTAAGGAGATGACACTTGAGTGAAGAGCTGATGGAAGAGTATATGAGCTGTGTGGTAACCAGAAGAACATTCTGTATACAGAAGGAAAGCAGAAGCATTCATGTCATGTTCAAAGAATAGGGAAGAAAGCCAGTATAGCTGTAAGAGTAATGGGAAAATGTGTAAAAAATCAGGTTAGCAAAGTGAGATGAGACCATACAGCCTATTATACTAAGAAGTCTTAGCTTTTATGCTAAGTGCAACGACAGTTGTGTGGAAAAATAACTAAGAGACAAAAACAGTGGAAGTAGGGGGTCTGGAGAGGGATCATGGCAATTACTGGGAGGAGGCAGGGGTGGCTTAGACCAGGATGGCAACAGCAAAAGCAGTGCGAGCTGATCAGACTGGATGTGGTCTGAAGGTAGTCTTGACTTGCTTGAAGAACTAACTATACCGTGAACTGTGTTTAAGAAAAGTGTGTGGAGTATGAGAGAAGAGTGTGATTCCAAGGGTGCAAGGCCAATAACTGGGAGGATAAAGATCCCATTTCCTGGGACATGGGAAGACAGGGAAAGTCACAGCAACAATCAAGAGGACAATCAAGACAAGTGGTTGGAATAATCTAGCTCAGTAATGGAGGCTTGGAAAGGTGGAGGGAGAATGAAAGCTAAATATTCAGTTTCAAACATATTATGTGTGAGCTACCAGTAGGCAGCAAGTGAGCACATCTAGCAGGCAGCTGGAGTTATGAATCTAGAGACACAAATCTGTAGAGGTCTGGACAGACCTAAACCCTTGGGAGGCATCAGCACATGGATTGGTATTGGATGCCTCATGTTGAATGAAGTAAGTGAGCAGGTATGGATAAATGTGATAAATAAATATGTGTGAGGAATATGATCTGGAGTGTTCTGGAGTGGAGGAAAAGGATATCCCAACACTGAGCCTGGTAAGCAGTAGCCAGTCGGGTAGGTGAAGTCGACTACAGTACCCATGAAGCCCGTGATAAAAAGTAAATGTAACTGTAAAATTAGTTAAGTTTGTTATCAAATTAGTCAGTAAGTTTGGGACTGAGTGTTCCCCATTAGATTTAGGAATGTGTCAGTCATAAGAAGGATGAGAACCATTTCTATAGTCAGCCATGGCTTGATAGCAATGGCTATCAAGACAGGTGGAATGTTGGCCAGAGTTCATCTCATAATAGCTTTTTCTCGGTTCCAGAAAAAATAGTAGTGGAACAGGTATGTAGCAGCTATTCTTCTAATCCACTTACCAGGTAACTCCTAAGGCCACCACTTTTGGAGGGGAGCCATGTACCTGTGAAGGTCCTGTCAGGTACATGGAATCACTGCAGTAGCAGTTTAATATAGTAGAGCCTTGGTTCATGAACTTAATTCTTTTCATGATTCTTGCTGCAACCAAATTACGTGACCAGAATCATTTAAACCCATCAATTGAAGTACCACTAGAAAGGAATTACGAGTTTACATCAATGTGAGAGGAGTAACTTTATAACTGACTGAGAAATAGTAGTAATTTAAATTCCTCTCTGGGAACTATCATTTCTAGAAAGGTGGAATGCATATACACTATTCTCCCATTTAACATACCTAAAATCCCTGAAAATGTGTATATATATATATATATATATACATATAGATGTGTGGTGGTAGTGGTAATAACAAGTTATGCAATCTTTGTGGCATAAAGAATGGAAATTCAAGTCAGGCAGGCATGATTGTGCATGCTTATAATCCCAGCACTCGGGAGGCTGAAGCAAGAGGACCTTAGATATGAGCCTAGCCTGGGTAATTTAGCAATTTAGCACAAAATTTAAAAAGGACTGGTGATGTATCTTAACAGCCCTGAGTTTAATACCTAGTATTTATAGGTGCTTTGCACTTCCACGGGAAAGACAGGTATTGAGAAAGGCAAATTCTATAGTGAACTTAAGAGAAAGACTAATTCAGCAAACATCTTGCTCATGTGTATTGGAAAAAAGCATAGAAAAGGCATTTAAGGATATTAAGTACAACAGAAAACAGTCCAGGTGTTGTTAGGCCTACTAGAACCATGGACTGCTGCCTGGCTACTGCTGAAAGCTTTCTGGCCAGGAATAACAGCCTCGCACCTAGCACACGGCCATTTGCTGCAAAGTAACTGGAAAAAAGGGTGTATTAAGAGCACTATGCAGTTATATGCCAGTTTTCTGCTTTAGTTCTTTCCCATTTTTTTCCCACTGAGCAAATGACCTTAAAAACAAGAGGGATTGTGAATTCATAGAGGGAAAAATCCTCTCAAGTCCCTTGTTTTACTTAAAATGCAGGCAAATTTGCATTTTTGGATTCTACTTCTCTGTACTGCTTTTATTCTCAAGTGTTTTTTCTGATACTTTCGGTGCACAAATGCCTCTAGATGTCTAATTGCTATGCTGTGATGAGTAACTACTGTAAATACTCCTAAGGTACACATATTGTTTGAAAGGTTTGGGCTCAGACATGAACTCAGTTATTTTGACACTTGCTTTAAAGTAACATTTTTCCATTACAATGTTCCAATCCTTATAGGAAAATCGAGGATATAAGCACAAAACATTATGCCTTAATTTTCGGTGTGTACTCAAGTAGTAACAGAATAAAACTATAAATATGGTAGAGATTACTCCTAGCGAGGAAAGGAGTCTTTAGTTGCATCTGCTTTATTCCTGAAGGAAAAAAAAAAAAAGAGAAAATATAGCATAATGGCAACAGGTTAGTAACATACTCTAATTGAACCAGCAAAAGCTACAAGTAAAGCCTCTTAATCCTACCATCCCTGACTCCTTGGTATCAGTTGTTGAATATTTACAAGCACATTTTCATTAAGCTTAGTAACAGTTAAGTTCAGGCTCTGGACATGGGCTGTCCAGGTTCAGATAAGCTCCACGAGTCCAAGGATATCTGATCCTCCATATGCTACTCAGCACTATCTCAGCACCTTATCTTCCCAGGCACTGTAACAGAACCTACCCCCTAAGTCTGTAAGCACTAAATAACCTGATAAACGTGAAGCATTTAGAAGACAACTATTCCAACATAAATATATTGAACTAGATGCATATGTCTTTTGACATCAACTGATAATGCAAAGATTCATTTTCCCCATAAAAGTGAGACGGATCAGTATGTCTTTTCATATCCTCTTTGTTTTCAGGATTTTTTCTGATCAATTGTATGTGTACACGTATATGTATACATCTGTTTAAGTCCCCAAAATTTAGATGGTTGTTAAACCAGTGAAGACTTACTCAAGCTTAATTCACTTATAAGCACAAGATACTGAGTAGGAAGAATTCTGACAATGAATATTTTAACTGAAAATTTATCTAAATCTAGTAATTTTCTGAATCATCAAGAAACACATATGCAGACCCAGTTTTTAAAGAAGCAATTCATTAAAGAAGTTATTAGTAAGACTAATAATGGCATACAATGGGCAGTAATGTACAATGCACAAAACAGTTTTGGATAGAACCAAACTTTACATTTGGTAACGCCAAATTCTTGGACAAAGAATAAAGTAATATAGCTAATCAACAGGGTAGAGGGGAACAGGCTACTGGTTTAAGAGCAAACTGGACCCTGAAGCTGTCTTGCAGAGGTGGATCTTCCCTATGTCCTCTATTTTAGAAACTACTTGAGGATATGCACCACACAATGGAATACATCTAAGAAAGACACAAGATACAAGAAATGGGGAGACAGGGAAAACGAGAGGCAAACTATCCCCAGGATGACAGCAAAGGAGATTTCAGGATGACAGCTTTATCCCAGCCACAGTAGTCTAGACTGGACCAAGCTGACTACTGCAGAGTGGTTCTTCAAGATGAATGGAACTGCCAGGGTAACTGTTTGAGCATATGCACAAAGCATTCATACATTTCTTAGAGATCTATACCAAGTCAACTGACTCAAGGAAATAAAAATGTGGGGTAAGGTAAAAATACCACATTGTTCAGTGGTAACCAGTGTTTACATAATCTTAATAATGTAAGCATATTCTTAGTCTAACCATAGTGAAAAATGTAACATTGAATTACAATATAATTATATTGAGAAGAAAAAGGGGTAAGAGCAGAATGTGTAAAGCAAAGAAAAAGACAAAAAGTTTGAATTAAGAATCAAAGAAAGAATACTTAAAAATCAATTAAAAGCAATAAAAATGTTATCTGGAGACATGGTAATAAGTGACAAAAATATTAACTCAAGAGTTCAAACAGCTTGCTTTGGGGACAGGAGAAAAGGACAAAAAAGTCACAGTAATGGTGAGTTTCTTTAGACAAAAATGTCACTTTGACTTTTTAAACAATTTGCAGGTAGAAGTTTAAAAATAGACAAAAAAAAATGTAAACACCACAAAATCTAGCAGTGTCAGGCTCATAAAAACTCCATAACTGTTAATCATTTTATTATTATAATGACAAGACAAATGATTCTTTGTATCACCATTACATTCACGCTAGAGATAACAATACTTTCTCTGTCATAAATGCTGTTTGATCTTTTTAAGACACTATTTATTATGCTTGGAGTAACAGCATGCTTAATGAAAGAAATACAAAACATTCCACTTTTTTTAACTGAGCAAAGTATCTACTTTTATATAATTTACACCCAACTTTTAATGTTAGTAATAGAAACAGTGAAATATTTTACTCCTTGATATTTAACAAGAGCAAGACTAACCCCAAAGACATGCACTACAACCATATAATAGGTTCTATCATCAATATGATGGACTCGATGTCTTTAATATATTATGTTCACACTTTGTCTTATTTTTAACATAGAAACAGATGAAGATGGTGAGCAAAAGGATCACAAAAAAACACAAATAGCTAATAACATCAATATATCTCATTTATAATGAATGAAATGCAAATTGTAAAAATGCATATTTTTCAGTTATACTAGCAAAGATTAAATATACAGGAAAATAAAAGATAATAACTACTGATGACCAGGAAGCATATCGGTGGAATGGCCACACATATAGTACTAAATGGAAGTATAAATTGTACAACCTTTTTGAAGAGCAATATGGTAATATTAAAGCTTTAAAATGAATGCTTAAGCCCTTTGAATCAGTTATTCTACTTCTAAAAATCTCACTAAGAACATAATTATGTACCTTAAAATGTACAAGGATATTCACTGTACCACCACTAAATAGTAATAAAATGCAGACAACTAAAATGTCTAATACAGAGGAGAATAAGCATGTTATCACCTATCTTTCTTATGCAGGTAGCAGGTTGTAGCTCTATGCCATCCTCTCAAACCTGCCTTAGCTTTTTCTTTTCCAACAGAATCTGCTCAAGAGGCAGAAAGTGTTAGATGCTGGTTTTCTTTAAACAGATCTGAAAAGACAGAAACTGTGGAGATATCTTCAGGGGACCACTGGGAGACATCTTCTTCACTAATAAAATAATTGTAACAGGGAAGCATTTCCTGCCTTATAGATGCGCTTTTTATTAAGAGGTAAAACTAGACTTTATAGCAGTTGTTCTTATAATTGAGAAGGGAAACGAGCCTAAGGCAAAATAAATAAATTGAGGCCAAACAAATGAACAAAAAGTAAAACATAACCACCCTGAATTGTAAATGTCCTCAGTTATCAACCCAAATATAATTGAACATTATCATCTCTGATCAAATTAGTATTAATCATACAAGAAGGTACTCTAGAACCATAAGTTCATGTGCTAGAGGTATAGTTATCAAGAGTAGATGCAGTTTTAAAAAATTACAAAACAGCATGTTCCCTTTAAAAAAAAAAAAAAGTTAATACAGATTCATTTGACAAGAAAAAAGTCTAGAAAGATACTCCAGGTTTAGAGTAGTGATTTCTGATAGGATTTAAATATTTCCTTTTTGCCCATTTGCATTTTCTACAATCTTCATTTATCAGTTGAAGATTCTGTCGCCCTATTTCTATTAATTCAACCCAAGTTTGGATAGGAAGGATTTATTTCATTGAATACAGAAGATACAAACAGTTGTCACTTTCTCTTCTTACTCAGTGAATAATATCATGACTTTGTACCATTTCGTATTAGAATTTCTTCTGTAAAGTAGAAACAGTCCCAAAATGAAGGATCTTCAGGTGTCATGGGAACAGCAGATGACATTAAATCATTAAAGGTAAGAATAGTAAACTGCCTCTGGGATGGTTTAGAATCATCTTGGGAAGGAACCTATAAAAGGGAAAAATAAATCACCTTATTATACTACATAATCTTATGATCAATTTTATGACTATAAAAAAAATAAAACAAAATTACATTTCAGTGGTACTACATTACAAATTCAGTTGAATTTCTAGAATATTTTTACTCTTTACATTAGTGTTACCAATAGAAAACACAGTTCTTGAACTTTTTGTATCTGACAGTAACCTTTGGTATATACTTAAAACTGTACAGACTACAACTGGGATTTAACACCTTTTTAGTGCATACTTGCAACACATATTTGCATTCTTTGCATGGGTTGGAGTGGTTAGCTAACACTCTTCCTTTTCTTCCATTCCTGTTCCTCTTCCGCCCACTTCTGTCTCATGATTTTTTCCCATCTGAGAAAGATCTACCTCCCTAATTCCTATTATCTTTTATTTTGTTATTTATAATTTGCGTTTTTATATACGAGAAACCATGCATATTTAACTTCGTGTGTCTGATTTATTTCACTTAACATTATGTTATCAAGGTACATCTATTTTTCTACAAATGACTCAACGTTGTTTCCTATTGGCAGCATAGAATTCCACTATGTGTAACTACCCCATTTTCTTCATCCATTCATCTGCTGATGGACATAAGGCTTCCAAGATTTGAAATGTGGTACCATTAAATATGGGTATGTATGCTTCACTATAATACAATGTGTTTAGCTGTTTCAGAAAGATAGCAGTAAGAATAATTAGTTCTAATGGAATTTCTAGTGTTAGCTCTTAAGGAACCTCTATACTGAGTTCCATAATGGCTGTACTATTCTATATTCTCACCAACAATGCAGAAGAGCACTCCCTCACCCTTGGCGCCTACCCAGTTTATTATTTGATGTCTTGATAGCCATTCTTTCTGGAGTGAGACGAAAGCTCAGTGTTGTTTTATTTTGCATTTCTCCAATGGCCAGCAATATTAAACCTTTCTTCATATATTTATTGGCCATTTGTGTTTTTTTTTTTGAAGTGTCTATTCATTTCACTTGCTCAATTTTTACTTTTATTTTAGGGGGATTAAATTCTTGATTTTTTTGTATATTCTAGGAATTAGTCCTCTGTGTAAGGAATATCTGGCAAACTTTTTCTCATTCTGTAGATTGTCTTTTTTTGCTGTGCAGTTTTTAAATATGATATGATCCCATTTGTTGATTCTGTGGACTACTTCCTAAGCAACCAGGATTCTATTCAGAAATTCTTTGGCCATGCTTATGACTTCACGATTTATCTATTTTGTCTTCCTGCAGATTAAGTGGTTCTGTTTTAGATTTAGTTCTCTGATTCATTTTGATTGTGATTTAGTGTATTGTGGAGACATGAGTCTTAGCTGAATCTTCTGCATGTGGTCAGACAGTTTTCCCTCCATCATTTGTTAAAGAGGCTCTTCCTCAGTGGAAATAATTCACCATGAAGTTAAACTGAATCTTTTACTCTGAAATACAGTCTTTGTTCAAGAACTCAACTCAGTGTAGCTCTTTCATAACCTATACATTCTAACACAGGCTGAGTATCCTTATGCTGAAAAATCTGAAATGCTCCTGAATCTGAAACTTTCTAAACACCAACATGATACCACCCCTGATGGTCAGTCAGAACACAGGTACACTAATGAATTTACTATGTATACTTGTGTACTATCCTTAAGATACTTCATTATGTACAGGTTAATTGTCTCAAATCCCCCAAAATGCAAAATGGTCTCATCCCAAGCATTTCCGATAAGGACTCTTAAATCTGCATAAACAGTAGTGGGGTTTTGTATAGTCTTTTAACAAAGTCAAACATTTATTTTACATGATGTATGTCTCATAGCTGCATTGTGATATAGTTATTATCCTGATTTTACAGATAGGGAAACTGAGGTTCATGAAGATTAAACTATTTGCCAAAGCTTAAACACAGGTTAAATGCGTCTAGAACTCATTATTTTCATTATGCCCGTGCTGCCTAAATAGGCTCTACACAGGGAAAGAAAAAGCACAGGCAGTACTAAATATGCATAAAGCTGACTTGAGAACATGAAGCTAAGTAACCTGGATTAGTACATTTTCCAATAACATGCATCAATTTTAACATGATATTCCTTTCTAAGGAGTATAATCTACGAAGTATTTTAATTCTTTGATTAATGTATTAAAGGGCTGGTCTATAGTCTGAGCTATTCTTCTAACGTAATACTATATACATTAACCATGCCACAATTCCCTCAAGTGTATTTCCTAAAACGCCTTGCATATAGTTTTAGTTATCACATTGCCAGTATTCCTTAAAGAAATTATCTCTGCAAAAGCACAAGTATACGTCGCCCCTAAGTTTTTTTCTCCTTCATTTATGAGATAATAGCATAACATACAAATAGTTCAATCAAAACTGATATTTTGCCACAATGTATGATCTCTCATGTATTTAATGTTATAATTTTGAGAATAATTTGGGATATTTGGGATATCAAAAGGGAAAAGACTCAATATGCAACCTATTACTACCCAACGTTAAACATAGTGCTTTTCATATTCAACACAGTCCCAGTTTCCTGGGGAATAAATTCCTGTTAAGATAATTATGACAGGGGGCTGGGGATTTAGCTCAGCGGCATAAGCACCTGCCTTGCAAGCAGGCGGTCGTGAGTTCAATCCCCGGTACCAATAAAAAGAAAAAAGAAAAAAAAAAAGTGTAAGATAATTATGACAGTGGCCATAGTTTCTTGGGGTTTTTTTTCTTCTTTATTGGGAATTGAACCCAGGCCTTTTTCACTGCGCTATACCCCTAGCCTCCATTTTATTTAAATTTTGAGACAAGATTTTGCTAAACTGCCCAGGCACTTGCTTCCAGAGTGTTGGGATTAACTGCATGCTTGTAACACCACTATAAGCAACTATAATGAATTCTATTAGAAATGTAACCATATGACAGTATTGCCACCATTTTTCTTTGCAGTGCTTACGTGTATTTCAATACAAAGCAGATAACATGTTCTTTAAGTTTCTATAATCCTAGATAATCTTAAAAGGTTTGCTAATGAAAAACACTTAAAAGTGTATAATCTTATAAAAATAAACACACCTTTAACCTGATATAAAGTTTCTGTTTTTATCAGTAAAGGATAAACTTAACACCATTTATGCTTTTGAAAAAACAAGACAAATCTTACATCCTTTTGTCTAGATCCATCAGGTTTTCTAAGAGCAACTGCAACAAAATGGTGCTCATCTATTTTGCTTTCCTGAAAATTAAAGGAAATAGCTTAATAAATATATCTACAATTGTACTTACATTTTTCAAATCTTATTTTCTTTCATTACACACACACACACATACAAATGCACTCTCTCCAGGTGCCAACCAATAGGCAAACAAGATCAAGTGTTCACCACATTCAAATGTTACATGTCTTAACATTTTAAAATATAAACCCTGTCCCAACTTTTATTTATTGCTCACTTTCAGTTTGTTTGATGTTTCTTAATGACTAGATCTAGGCTATGCACTCTCAACAAGAACATTACACAGGCACACAGATAGCTATCTGCTCCTCGCTGGATTAATTTTATATATGCTTAATGTTCATTTAAAAAATGAGATGCAATTCTGGCTGATAAGCATTCAGTGAACTATATACATAAGCCTATGGAAAAATCAAGGCAGAAATTTATAGGTAATTTATAACACTAACAAATATGCATATTTTCTATTTTTCTCTACAAATGACGAAGTGGAAGGAGTTGAAAAATGTAACAGTGACTGAGGCAGACACAAAATTATAAGCAACTACTAAAAACTAAACAAAATTTTCTCTTAAAAACCAGCAAATAGGGCACTCTTCTATTAACCCATCAACTGAATAAAAGCTGTAAGCACAAAGTCATTAAGGATCTTTCATTCTCTATCTGTCTTTTCATATTTTCATACCTTAAGATATCCAAATTAGCAAAAACTAAAACTCAAAAAAAAAAAAAAAATTAAGACAAGAATAGTTATAGAAGAGACCAGGCATGTGGCACATGTCTGTTACCCCAGCACTTGGGAGGCTGAGGCAAGAAGACTGCTGTGAGTTCAAGGCCAGCTGGGGTTATAAACAGCTCAACCAGCTTGAACTGCATATGAAACCCTGTCTCAAAAAGACCAACAAACAAACAAACAAAAAACCAAAAAAGAATACTTATGGAAGAAAAGAAGACCAAGAATCACCAAATGTAATAGATAAAGTTTTCAAAAAATAAATTGGCAACAAAATTCTTTGTTTTTTCTTAAACAGTAAAACAAATCACACAGATTTAAAAATATCTAAAATAATATTTTAGAAATTTAAACATAGTTCTTACATGTATGGGATATTGTAATAAATCTAATATGATATACATAGTTCTTGACGTAGTTCTTACATGTATGGGATATTGTAATAAATCTAATATGACATACAGTATAAATGGTAACCTAAGAATGTTGCTTATGGCTGCACTGTTTGGAATATTCCTAGTACTGTGAGACACTGGGACAGTCACTTTGTAACAGGCCCCAAAACAAGATTTATTCCCTTAGGCCCCCAATAAGATCATAGTAATTTATTACAATATTATAAACAAAATCCTTTTTCTATAGAGCCTTCCTCATTATTTCCACTGAATGTAAAGGACAGTAAAATGAACATTGTATACAGATGGTTTGGCTATAATTTCTTTTGGAAAAGGATGTTAGCAGTTCTGCAGCAGCTGCACATACAGCAAGGATCAGAGATATCTGTGGGCAACCAGTTTTTGTGCAGGCTGTCAGCTAAAATCCCAAGAATCCTTCCTCAACTTTTTGGTTTATGCTGTTATAAGCCACGATTCAATGAAATGAATTCCAAAATGAAGCTTCATCACATCTACTCAGACCTTGTCAGCATTAGGGTTATGAAATGTGACAGGATTTATGTCAGTATCAGGATATATGAAAGGTTAGAATAGGTCACTAACAACTGATGACTTATTTTATATCCTACCATCGTTCCTTCTCAGCCTCCTCCACCATTCATCTGTGTAACATCAGCATTCTCAGGCCATTCTCTTAAGTATCTCACAGTTCAAACTTCAAGTCTCCTGCTCTTAACTACCACGAGCATGTTAGCACTTAAACAGTCTCTGCCCCAGCACAGCCTTCCATTCTATTAGCCTAGTTGACAGCTTCACTTCAGTGTTTCAATGGTATCTCAAACTTAAAATTCCATTTGCTTTCTAGTATTTTATATTTCAATACACAGTAGAATAAGCCAGAGTATTCCTCGTATCTTTGACACCTAACTTTCTAACTTCCACATACCATTACAAACAGGACCTGGTCTTCTTAAAACACAAACTTGACTCTATCACTCCCTATTTAATATCTGTTAAGAAAAACAGGTGAGAAAATTAGTGAACACCTCCTATTTTACCATTCACTGCTAACTCCGGGCAACCAACTTTCTTTGCATGTCAATTCCAATGTTGTAGAAGTAACCACATTATAATACAGCCTATTAATATTCTGGACTCTGAACATTTAATGTAAGCAGAATGAAATACAGTACACTACCTCCTTGGCTAGTGATTGGTCTGGAGAGTACACACAGGACCCATGTTAGGACAGTGAGTCCTTCTATGGGGATTTTGGACTTGCAATAGACAGTGAGCTTACTAGTCTCCTTTGAGTTTTTTATAAAGTGGTATATAAACAGCGAAGCAACTAAGTTCCTGCAACTCAGCCCAGAGAAGCTAAGATAGCTGGTGTGCAGAACAATGAACACAGATGAGAAAAAAATAAACGTAAGAAAGATATATAAAAAGGCAAAAGATAAAGAGGTCTGAGTTCTTCATTCCTGAATTCTGGCTAATTTTGAGGTCTAATTACTGAACTATTCTAGTGGCTTGTAGTTATGGCTTTTTGATTTTCTGAATCTGTGTTGGGTTTCTCACTGGCAACCAAGAACCGCTAGTGACAGAAACCAAATAAACACAAGGGCCAAAACCCTTTAGTGTGACTAGTTAACGCCTCTCGTGGCGTACTAGCCCAGGGTATCCCTTCTTCACAACCCATCCAAAGTGACCATCTTTAGCTTCTCACTCTTTCCGTTCTAGGGCCTCTATTCTTGTCCCATTCCGCTTAACCAGAATGTCTCGTCTTCCAACTGTCAGCTTACACGTTACATGCTCTCACAGTTCCCTGACTTCATCTTCAGAGCATCAAAACTGGATTTCACATGCGTTTAATTTCAACAATTAGCCACAAAATAATCTTAAACACAGGCCCAGAATATGGATATTCTCAATTATAACAAGTCTGATACATTTTTTACCTCAAATGCCCATTCTTTTTCTTCTTCCCCATCCAGGAACAAACGTGTTTCTTTATAAACCTGGCCTATATCCAAGTTTAACGGGGAGATATCAAATTCGAGCCTTTGCAATTCAAATCCCAGTCCAACACCAATGGCTTTAATGAAGCTTTCCTTCAGTGCCTAGGACACAGGTAGATATTTTTCTTTTAGACTATTCAGTAGAAAAAACTTTTCATAAAATCTACATGGCTAATACATCCAGATTTCTAACGTCATAGTATATTACAGCTATAAGCTTATAGTATCACAGAAACAAATTATCCATGTGAACTTAAAGCAAATCATTTAAACTCTATGCCTTTACTCCCTTATGCATAAACTGTGTTAACTACATTGTATTCTTACAGGGCTGTTCAGACAATTAAGTTAACCATCTTATGAAAAGTTGAAGGTGATATCCTGTGGCATACAGTAATATTACATAAGGTTGTGTGTATGAACTTAAGACAGAACACATTAAAGTAAAATGTTCTCTTTTTAGCTTTTAGATCATTAATTGAACATTAAATATATTAAATTTTCTCAAATATTACACGGTATGGTATAACTAAGGAAATATTTATTTTTAGTGAAGATATTACTTTACTCTTATTGTTAGTGAAGATAATGGAATCACTATATTTTATTTTAAAAATTACAAAAGAATCTTACCCAATTCCTATAAAACATATCCAGCTGAGTCCACTCATCTTTAAAGCTTCTGATTGTTTCCCATTCTTTGTTGGTAAACTTTCTTTTCATAATATGAAAAAATTCTGGAATTGAACCACGACCTGTCAAGCAAAAAAAATTAAAAACAGCTCTATTAAAAAAAAAAAAAAAAAAAAAACAACAGCTGTTCTATGGATTGAAACTGCTAAAGACAACACAAAAAAGAAAACTACAGGAAAACGCTTAGGATTATATCCTAAACAAAATAAGACCAAATCAACTGATGAGAAGAATACATCAAGACAAGCATGGATTAACCTAGAAACATAAGAACAGTTTAAAAGAAATCAGTGAAATAATGTATTATTAAATAACTGAGCAGAAAAGCAATATAGTTGCACCAAAAGATATTCCAAAAATTTAGCAGCTAGATCTGTTATAAATTCTAAATAACTAAGAAAAAATATCTTTTATAAGACAAAATATGTCTCAAAAATCAACAAATATTCCTAAAACAAAGCTGTGCTATTCTGCGGTTTGAATTCTTACTCTGCTGTATTACAGGGAGACGGGGAGAGTGACATGTTACTGTGACTATCCCTGCTTGTGGGTCAGAATCTTTGGAACTGGTTTGTGGCCTAAAGAATCCCAAAATGCTGTAAGGAGATCCTGGTAGATGACTGTAGCTGAAACTTGGAAGACCAAAGTGTCGATGGAAATGCAGACAAGAAACAGGCCAGGCAGGCTCAGGAAGTCTCAGCTAGGAACAAGAGTGCCACTGGCAACTGGATTAGACAGCATGTGTGTTACACTGTGGCAAAAAGTTCGTCTGTATTTTGCTCATGTCCTAAGACTCTGTGTGACCATGAATTTAAAAACAGTAGGTTAATTAATCTAGCAGGAGAAATTTCAAGGCTGTGGCATGGATACTGCTATCTTGGTCAGATCTATGAGAATCAAGAGAAGGCAAATGTAAAAAAGCTTATAATTTCACCACAAAGGAAATGCCTGGAAAGCAATCCATCCAGTCAGAGGCCACCTTAGCCGTGGTCCACTGCTCAAGTGTGTGGTAGATCTGGCACAATACACATGGTGCTGACTTTCAAGCTGCATATAAAATGAAAGATGTGTTGAATCATAGTGGTTTCCACCCAAATTTCAGAAGAAAACTGAGTGGCCATGCAGTCTACCCAACAGACAGCAGTGTGTGGAGCCAAAAGTGCAGGATACCAAAATTTGGAGATGCCAGGAACATGGATCATCCTCTGGGGTAAAAAAATGTAGAAAGGAAGCAGAATCAGCCCAAGCGAGACCCTAGGGGCTACACCTGGCAGTATTGGAAGGACAGGGCTGACCCAGTCCTTCCTGACCCAGTTTACCACCACCTACCCAGGAGTTGAATGTATCCTCTGCCAGTTTTCAGTATCAGCTTAGGTCTGTTTCCTTTCTACCTTCCTGTTCCTCACTTTTGGAATAGGAATGTTTGTTTCATGCCACTATACATTGATATTTACAGATCAGAGTTTATCTTGAGTCTCAGAGAAAACTTTACACTTGGGCTTTTCAGCAATGTCAGAACTATTAAGATGTTAGTGACGCTTAGAGATGGCTAAATGCATTTTGCACAATGAGATGAATATGAGCCTTTTCTGGGCCAGGATGCAGGATGTTAGACTTAGATCTAAAATGTTCCTCCCCAAAGGCTCATGTTTTTAGAAGGTGATTGAATTGTAAGGTGCTATAGGTTGGTCTGATTAGAGGCAGAACACCCAGAGAATGACCTGGAAAGGTAAATTCTTTCTGCTTCTTGACTGCCATGGGTTGAACAGCTTTGTCTCACCCTGCCCTTTCTGACCTGGAGTGGTAGTGAACCCATGGCATGTGTGCTGCAGTAGGTACACAGAGTCCTCTATTAGAATGCAAGCCCAAGCTAAGTCACCCAGCAGCCAGGCATCGTTTTTTTCTAAGTGAAAACCTCAGAATTCAGGTTTAAGCAGTGTATACACATGGTAATAAACACATGAGTTTTGGGGTGCAGTTTGGGCACTTGGTCTTTGAAAGGTTCACCATCCCTGCTGCAGACTAAACCATGAACCAATGAAACCTGTCTTCCTTAAATTGTGGGTGTCAGGTATTTTGTCCTAGCAATGAGAGAGCTGATTAACACAGTAGTTTAACGGAAATCAAAGAAAAAGAATTAATTACTAAATAATTAAGCAGAAAGACAATATGGTTGTACCAAAAGATGTTCTAAAAATATGACAAAGTATAACAGCCAAATCAGTCATAAATTCTAAAAAGGAAATGTCTTATATAAGAGTATGTCTCAGAAATCTGTAACAAACACTCTTAAAATACAGCTATGTTGTTCAAAAGTTTACATTTTTACTTTGCTATATTTCAGAGGGAAAAAGAGAACCCTTTTTCACTGTAAGTTGCTAACTTTTTGCTGAAAGTTATTCTTTTATTCTAAATTATCACTGTGACTGGAAATAATGGTATACAAAATAGAACTGGTACTTACAGTCACAGAATATACACAATTTCTCCTATAGTAAATAACTTTTCCATAGTTAACTCTAGAATAGAAAATATTAAGGTCAGTTCTTACAAAACTGTTTATGAACTACCCCCACCATCACCACCTCTACTTCAAAAGACTCCAAATAGTTTTTAAGACAGACTGTTAGAGAAGGAGAGGGAAATCAGGATAAAAGGGAGGAGGGTAAGGCAGACTAATGGGGTGGATATGATCAAAGTAGGTTACGTATATGTTATGCAAAAGTCACAATGGAGCATATTACTCTAATTACTATGTACTAATTTTTAAGTCTTCAAAATAGTTTCCTTGTTTAGCTGGGAAATATTTCTGATATCCTAATATGTACCATTTTGTGATACTTTAGATGGAAGACAAAATTATCATTTATTTTCAGGCACTGAAATATTAAACTACGATCTTAACAGTCTCATCACATAGGATATTCTTTGGATCATGGATCCTTTCATGATTCAACACCATCCTGAGTATAACTAGAAGCCACTGAATAAAAACTGTTTTATTCAGTGCACCAATAGTATGTGCTGGCTTAATAAATAATATACTAAAAAAGCACCCTGAAGAAAGTAAAGGAGTAATCCCATCCAAAAAGGATTTATGCAAATCTGGTTTTAAATACATGAGTGATAAACTGTTTTACTCTTGAATGAATTCTGGCATAAATAATATTAAGTAATAACAATAGCTGGATTTTGAGATAACATTATATACATTGAGATAATATTATGTATAATTTTAATGTACTAATATCCAAAATGTTTAAACAGATGTGCTGTGTTGTTGTTTTAATTGCGGGTTTCTTCAAGTTTTCATTCTATCACTTCTAAGAAGGCTTCGGAATTTTAATTAAATATGACAAAGCAATCAAGGAAAAAATTAAGTATGTGCGCTTATGAAAACCTAATCAACATAAAAAGCAATCTAACACAATCACTAGCAAGCAATCACACAACTCATTATTTATGGCTAAAAGAAGAACCCAATATGAGTACATTTTCACATATTTTTGAGAGAAACTTATCTAAGCCACAAATGAAATTTGACAATGACAAGAAAAGGTGATTTTGTAAATATTCAGCTAAAGCACAACAGCACCACACTGTGGTGTTATGGGGGAAATACAAGAGTGAATATTAGGTTTAAGCACAGCTCACTTACGAAGTAGGAATAAAGAAAAACTATTAAAATATTAGTAGAAAAATAAACCTGCCCTGCCAACTTTTCAACATTACTGGACATTTAAATTGGCAAATCCTCCTAATAATACTCTATGATATCCACATCTACTGTATTATATTCTACTTATCCTGAGAATTTAAGAACTTGGTGACTATATACATAAATAAGAAAAATAAGTGTCTGGAAAACACATACAACCACTAAGCAAGTTTAGAAAAATCTTATCCTCTAGCTTACAGCTTAATCTCTAAGACATGTTAGAGACTAATGAAATGTTCTGCAATAATCAATACCTCATAGCAACTAAACACAGTAACATGGAACAAAAATCAGTCAATACCCTTGTATACCAAAACACAAAAAGAAAACAGAAAAACCCCTAAAGGAAGCCCACCTGCATTCATCTCCCCAACAAGGCCGCCAATATATCTCACTTAAAGTTTGCTATTCTTCTTAAAGAAAAGGGACTAGTTATTTTTCAGGGAAAAGAGAGTGAGCTGAACAATACACATCTGCACAATCTTATTTCTAAGAGCGTGATAATATTTTACCGTGATATAAACCCAAAATAAGACCAACCCCTCAAAAATGCAGTTTGATAAACTGCATTTAAAAATCTCTTAACTGACAAAGTATCTCCAAGTTCTTGAAATATGGGCATAGCCAAAAAAAAAAAAAAAAAAAAAGACTAGGCTGACATATGATGTAGGCTTGACACTCACAGTCCCAAACTTTAGTTGTGCTTCTGTGGTTTATTTTAATATACATACATCAAGATGTACAGATGTTAACACACATAGCAAAGACACACGCAAACAAAGCTAAACAACTGGATTGAGAATACTGTCCTTCAACAAAGGACTACCAAGAGCCAGGAAGAGACCAAGGGCCGAGAGAATGGGACCATCACCATAGGGCCAGACAACAGAGTACACCGTCATTTTCAGGCATTGGAACCTAATGAAATTTTTCCTGCTTGGAAACTTGCTTGGGAACCATGATCCCTTTGTTTCCTTGTGACGTCTCCCTGAAATGAGAACAGCTATCCTTTGTCTCTCGTTACTGTACTTTAGAAGATGACTTGTTTCCATTTTCACAGATCTGTAGATGGGGAATTCTGTCCCAAAATGGATTATAGCTGACTTAGATGATACAGAGGAGACACACAACTTGCAGTGCTCATATTTAGATGAGATTGTATCTGAAGTGAGGGTATGGGTTAAGATTTGGGGAACATAAGATGGGTGAAGGCAGTTAATCTTTATTGTCATCTTGACTGGACTAAGAGATTAAAGCACATACTGGGTGTGTCTGGGTGGGTAATGGAGGGGTCACCTTGGGGACTGTATCTGGTCCTGGCCCTTTCTCTCTAGTGCTCTGCCC